AGTTTTTTATGGTTAGGTTGTTAAGGACAGTTTGAGTGATGTCTGCTTGTACAAAACATATGTTCACATTCGGATACCTATAAACCATGTTTGCATTAAGTTTATTGTTGGAATACATACACGTGTTTTTCCTTGTGACTATTTATGATTGAATTCTGCCTTGAGTTGCTGGTAGCACCATAAGCCCTTGCTTCATGTCAAGTAACCTCATTTTGTGTTGAAAGCTAGGGGCCATATTATGAATCTAAGGGCTGTCAGTATGTTTTTGGAGAGTTTTAAGTAATTAATCCAATTTGCATTTGGGGGTTTGTTTAAATTCATTGAGCTTTCATTGATATAAGTTAGTGTTGGTCCAGCTATTGATCATTCTGTTAAGAGTGTTCAAATCCTGTTGCAACTCATATACATTACCTTGCACCATTGACTTCTTGCATATTGGTAAAATTTGATTTATGTGATGTTTGAGATATGTGCACATTTCTGTTTCAAGCTAATTGACAACTCTCCCAATCTTTGAGTTCCAAATGCACCACTGTTGTTTTTGAAAGGATCCTTTTGGCAAAAACCTGAACTTTGTTTGTTATTCACATAAATTACATCTTGCCTCAGCAGGATTTTTTTAGATCTTAATCATCATGAGCAGCAGGTTTAGAATATGAGCAGACATGTGTGGGTCTTGAACTCACCTATTTTGATCATCTTGTTTTGGTTAGATCCAACTCATGTTCTTTGATGAAACTCACATGCCATTACTTTGTTCCAGTGTCTTTTTGAATTAAATTTATGTTGAAACTCAGTCTATATCATGTTTGAAACTTGAGCAGGCCCTCACTTGTGTATGTTTGCATTTGTTTTGATCTTACCACTGCAAAATGAATTTCAAGCTTCATTATGCATGAGTCTTCGTGTTTTCATTTGTGTGCATTATTTCAAAATTTGGTTATTACCATTGTGTTCCTCATTAAATTTCAAGTGAGTTTGACTTAAATTTCATGAGATTTGGTGGAGATTTGAAGAAGTTATGATGAAATCGTTTTTCATGTTTTTGCCTTGGTCTTGTCTGGAAGCTTGCCCATATTTGCGCATATTTTTGGTATATTTGCAACTGGGGTGACTTAATACAACGGGTGTATCGCCACCCCAGTGGTTATTTCCTTGCCCATAAGAACCTTGCCATGCCTTGTGACGCAAGCTCGACCCTCAGTGAGGGCGTTTTTACACTTTTTTAATGATTTTTTTTCATGTTTTTATTATTTCTTCTTCCATCTCCATTTATTTTCACACACATGAGGTAGCTGGATTGGTCTTGTTTTAAGTCCATGACCCCAAGGTCTTGAGTTCAAGGCTTGGGTGAGACACTTCATTCTTTTTAATGTTTAGTTTATTTAATTTTTATTTAACTTTCAATTTTACATAACTTCTTCATTTTTAATCCTTTTTAAGTGATTATTTTTTCTAAATTCTTGTATCAATGTATATTTTCACATGATGTTCAAAGAGGTTCACCTTTAAAACTGTTGATTATCACCATGAGGTTTTGAACCTTTTCTCTATATTATTGTGACATTGTTTAATGTTATCCTTTACCTTTAACCTTTATCCTAACCTTAGGATCCGAGTCGCCGTACTCACTTTTAGCGTCCCGTCATGGACATTCTTCACCCTTTTATCCTAACCTTAGGATTTGAGTCGCCGTACTCACTTTTAGCGTCCCGCTGTGGACATCCTTTAACCTTTTATCCTAGCCTTAGGATCTGAGTCGCCTTACTCATGTTTAGCGTCCCGTCGTGGACATCTTTTACCCTTTTATCCTAGCCCTAGGATCTGAGTCTCCGTGCTCATGTTTAGCGTCCCTCCGTGGACATTCTCTACCATAATAATCTCAACGTAGATTTAGGAGTCGCTGCACTCCATGTAAGTACTTCTCTATGAATGATTACATCCTTTTGGAACCTTGACCACAGTCAAGAGTTCCTCACCCCTATTGAGGGGAACTACGGTTGCTTTGATTCTGTTCCCGTCAGGATACGTAGGCACGAGATGCGATGTCTTCGTGAGCATACTTTGTATATACTTTAGATCTTTACCTTAGCACGTTTCCCTTTAGCAAGCAAACTTTAGAAAACACAAATATTAACAAGAGGTTCCTGTAGAGTACTACAGATGTTTAGGATGTGAAATACCTACCCTAGGCATAACTAACCTCTGAACCTTTAGATCTCTCTTTACTTAGTTTTAGGCCTTGCCTTTTGCTTTGCATTTTTAAAGGTTTTTCTTTCTTTAAACCTTTCCTTTTGGATAAATTAAAGTCCGGTTGTGAGAGAAACGTACTGGATGTCGTACTCTGTAAGTACCATCTGCCACCTGGCAATCCTTCCTGAAAGCGCTTGCTTTTCAAAGACGTACTTGATTGGATCCATCTTCGAAATCAGCATGGTTGTATGATTTAGCATATATTGTCTCAAACGTTTGGCAGCTCACGCGAGTGCGCAACACGTTTTTTCGAGCATTGAGTAACGAGACTCACAATTTGTGAACTTTTTACTCAGATAGTAAATCGCATGCTCTTTCCTTCCTGTCTCGTCGTGTTGATTGAGAACACAGTCCATGTTGTTCTCAAGAACCGTCAAATACATGATTAATGGTCTTCCGGCTACTGGAGGTATCAATATCAGAGGTTCCTGCAGATATTCTTTTATTTTATCAAAAGCTTTTTGACAATTTTCATTCCAGACGACCGCCTGATCTTTCTTTAACAATTTGAACATTGGTTGTACGTGGCCGTGAGATGAGATATGAACCGAGCAATGTAGTTCAATCTCCCCAAGAAACCACAAACCTCTTTTTCTGTTTTCGGTGCTGGCATATCTTGTATAGCTTTTATTTTTGTAGGATCAACCTCGATTCCTTTTTCACTGACAATAAACCCCAATAACTTTCCGGACCGAACTCCAAAAGTGCACTTATTTGGATTCAACCTCAACCTGAATTTCCTAAGTCTTTCAAATAGGTTCAACAAATTGACCAGATGCTCTTCCTCCGTTTGGGACTTCGCAATCATGTCATCAACATATACTTCAATCTCATGATGAATCATATCATGAAAGAGAGTCACCATTGCCCGCTGGTAGGTTGCCCATGCGTTTTTCAACCCCAAAGGCATCACCTTGTAACAAAATGTCCCCCACGGCGTGATAAACGTCGTTTTCTCCATATCCTTCGGTGCCATTTTAATCTGATTATAGCCCGAGAAACCGTCCATGAAGGAAAACACGGAAAATTGAGCAGTGTTGTCAACCAACACGTCAATGTGAGGGAGCGGGAAATCATCCTTTGGGTTCGCCCTATTCAAGTCTCTATAATCAACACACATTCGTACCTTACCGTCCTTCTTTGGCATACGTATGATGTTGGCGACCCACGAAGGGTAAGTTGTCACGACTAAAAATCCTGTGTCCAACTGCTTCTGTACTTCTTCTTTGATTTTAACAGTCATGTCTGGTCTTGTCCTCCTAAACTTCTGCTTGACCGGCGGACACTCCTCACGCAGCGGCAAGCGATGAACCACGATGTCAGTATCAAGTCCGGGCATGTCTTCGCACGACCAAACAAAGATGTCATTATACTCTCGAAACATCTCGATCAATCTTTGCTTAATGTCACTTTGCAACGCAGCCACTATCATGACGTGTTTGACAACTTCTTCAAAACCCAAATTGACGACCTCAATCTCTTCCTGATGAGGCAGAATGATCTTCTCTTGCTTCAAAAGTCTAACTAGCTCTTCTGGCAAGTCTTCATCCTCATCAATCTCTTCTTCAGCTTGAAATATCGGGTGATCAAAGTTGAAGCGAGTCATAGGAGGTTTTGAATCGGTGTCATCTGCAATGTGAATCCTGCAATGAAAATGGTTAAATGTTTCAAAAGATATGCAAAACGAGGACAAAACCACATTGTCATTTTATTGTTCAAAAACAAAAATAAGAAAGACAAAGATCACAAAATTCGAATGAGAAAAAACGCCCTTTGATTAATTGATGGAACAATGTTCAAACATAAACAAGCATGCCCTGAAATAGAATACCACTATACTTCGGGTAGAACATAGGGTTACACAATAGCTGAGAAAACAAAGTATTATTGTTCATGTGTCACTTGGACGAATTCCTCAATGGACCAATTGCATAGCTTCTGTCCGGGAGCGCTTGGCTGGATCCAAGCGTCCATATCACAATCACTGTCCCCGACTTCATCATCAGAAACAACGTTGATCTGCTCAAAAATGACACTCCCACTGGTGAACCTGACGGGCCCCTTATAGCGCGGCGCGCTCTACGAAGATGACGAAGATGATGGGCAGTACCCCAACCCAAACTTGTCCTGCTTCTGAGGTATGTCTAGCACTTTTCCCCATCCTTGTGATGCCCCAGCCTGTACTGCTGCTTGAGCTTCTAATTAACACACTCTGCTAGTATACACATCAGTAGCTAAAACTCATACAGCTACACACACTAACATACATTCCTACATAAATAACATACATTCCTACATAAATTTGGAATGTACACATCAGCAACAGCACCGGCTGTTGTCACACCTGTACAGCATGTTTATTTCACATGCACAAACTTTTCAATGGCATGTATCTGCTGTTTACCTAGCACTCTCTCCCCCTTTTTAGCTACTCAGCCAGTGACAGTGTTATCGACTTATGGACAGGGTTGGTCCTCAAAAATTATACAATTGTCACCATTTATCAGCAAGGAAATCTTGGTTGAAGTGCATAATTTGCACTAAACCACATACTAGATACATGCCATTGAAATTGTTTAGGCAAACAAAGCAAAGTATATCCTTGAACAAACAACAATGATCAAAAGTTAATATAACAAATTATCAAGTAAAACATTTACAATAATTACCTTCATATCACCCTTTTGAGATCAAAAACTTACACAGCAAAATGGTTAAATATATACATGCATGAGCTAACAATAAAATCAACACTCATTAGGCAGTTGAGCAAATGTTCCCGTGTTAGGGCTACACCCGACAACCAACATCTTCTTGAAGACAGAGAAGGCTTGGTCTTTATTTCCCGACAAACTATGACCGCGGATGAGAGCATTATACGTGAAAACACTCGGTTCTAGACCCACAAGTTGAAGTTCTTCATACATCTTTACAGCTAGGTCTACCTTTCCAGCAATTCCAAGATGTAAAATCAATGCATTGTAAGTGTAAAGATCGGGAGAAACTCCTCTATTCTTCATTTCATCTAAAAGAGAAAGAGCTTCTTCAAATCTATGCGATTTTGCGAGCCCGTTGATAATAAAGTTGTACGAAACTGTATCAGGATCAAGGCCAGTCAACTTTAGTTCCTCAAAGTACTGAAAAGCTTCATCAACCCTACCACTTATGCACAAACTTTCTACAAGAATGGTATAAGATTTCAAGTCTGGCCTTATTCCTTCTTTAACCATCTTTTTGAACAAGTCACAAGCAATATCGATTTCCCCCGATTTCCCAAATCCGTTGATAAGAATATTGTAGATAACACTGTTGGGCTTGCATTGATAATCTAACATCTCCTCGAAAATCTTCATTGCTTGTTCGGATCTTCCAGCTTTTAAAAGACCATCTATAAGAGGACCATATGTACTAGGAGTTGGAGAGAAATTACCACTCATGAGTTCATAATACAAATCCAAAGCCGCATTCAAGTAGTTAGATTTCACAAGCGCGGAGATGATAATATTATGAGTTATCACATTAGGCTCACATCCCTTACAACGCATCTCATTGTACAGATGATAGAGTTCATTGATCCTCTGAGATTTACCGTGAATATCAAGCAACAAGTTGTAAGTGAAATTATTCGGGTGACAACCTGCGTTCTTCATCTCTTCGAAAAGTTCTAGAGCTTTTTCAGTGAAATTAGAGGCAAGAAGCCCATCCATCAAGCAATTATACGATTCTAGGGTTGGGTGAATTCCCAACTTTTTGGTGAATTTGTCGAATACATTTTGAGCATCGAGGGCCTTCTTCCGCTTACACAGAATTTTAATTAGAGGTAACATTACATGATCATCTTGGCAAACAGAATCGCAAACCAATATTTCAGCAAATGAAATGGCATCCTCTATTTCCGCTTCGGCTAAAATGCATTCCATTAGTTCTTCCCAGAATTGTGAATTTGTCTGTAAACCTTCCTGATGTACAAATTCCATTACAACCTTGGTTGCATCATCAACCCTTCCATAGCGCACAACACCGGGAAGGAGGGTGCATAAAGTTACATAATCAGGGGAAAGAAATTTCTTCATTTGATGGAAAAACCAAAACGCGTAATTGGTTCTGCCTTCTCTGATCAAACCATAGATGATAGAATTGTATGTAAAAACATCAGGTTTACAGTTCATTGTTGTCATTCTACAGAACATCTTCAATGCCAAATCAACTGCTTCATTCTTGGAAAGACAATCAAGGAGTGAGTTAAAAGTTATCGTGTTTGGAGGGCATCCAGACTCGGTCATACTACTGAATAATTCAAGGGCATTTACGATATTTCCCTCTCTACCGAGACCGGTAAGTAAAATGTTGTACGTCACAACTGTAGGAGCTAGCCTCGAACTCTTCAGCCTCCCGAACATCTTCCACGCCTCATTAACACGGCCAGCCTTGTAAAGTGTGTCGATTAAAGAATTAATTATCATTACATCTGGTTCACAACCTTTGCTTATCATCTCAAACAAAAGATTTGTGGCATTGTCTACTTTCCCTGCTTTGCTATAGCACTTCATCATCATATTATAGGTTGCTGAATCCGGCGAAAGCCCGCAGTTGTGAAGTTCGTTGAATATATCTTCTGCCTCTTTGATCCGACCCGTCTCTGCAAGAGTATATAAGGATGCATTGCACGCTGCTATACTTGGCATAATGCCTCTCTCTTTCATCTTTGCAAATGTATCGAGAGCTTTTCCAGGATCTCCTGATTTTCCATAATAATCAATGAAAAGAACATACGAAAAAGCAGTTGGTTTAGCACCCAAAGATTCCATATTTTCAAAAAGTTCTAAGGCGTCATCTAATCTTCTTGCCTTCAAAAGACCACATATCAATGTGTTGTATGTATGAAGATTTGGTAAAATTCCTTTCGTTTTCATCACATCTAACATCGAAAATGCCCGTTCAACATCCCCGGATTTGCATAAAGCCTCAATAAGTATAGTGTAGGTGACCACATCAGGGGCATAATCATCAGCCTCCATCTCATTCCAGAATCTTTTCACTTTTTCCAAGTCGCCAACGTTACCAAACTTGTCCATCAATGTAATGTATGTTACCCGATCCGGACTGTGATTGCTCGCCCTCATCTTCATATATAACTCCTCAGCCTTGTCAAGTTTCCCTGCGGAACAAAGAGCATCAATAAGAACCGTATACGTGACAACATCAGGCCCGCATCCTTCATCTTCCATTTCCTTAAAAATCCCCCATGCATCATCGATTCTCCCAGCCTTCCCAAGAGCTCTAATACATATCGTATACGTGTATATATTCGGCCTCAAACCTATACTTTTCATTTCTTCCAACAAATTCATAATGTTTCCCGTGTCCCTTCTCCTCCCCAACGCAACCATCAAAGCCGAATACGTCTTCATGCTAGGTTTCATCCCTTCTGAGATCATTCTCTTGTAAACCTTCAAAGCCTCTTTACAAAAACCAGGCAACATTAAATAAATCAAACCATTATACGAATACGCATTCAAGATAAACCCAGCTTGCATCATCTTCTGAAGCGCAAAAGTCGTTCTTCCAATCCCACCTTTAACCGAAAGAGCCTTGAAAATAGTCAAGTAAGTATCCAAACTCCTGTAAATAACTTGCTTTTGCATCATATTAAATACAAAAATCATATCCTCAATCCTCCCTTGTTCTCTCAAAAACTCAAGCATATAATTGCAAGCATCAGTGGTATGCACAAAATTAGGCAACTGAGAAACTAACTTAAAGTATGAAAAAACAGAATTTGGATCAGAAATAGACTTCAAAACTTTCATAACCTCTTCAGAAGACACTTTAGTTTTGTTCTTCTTCCCATTTACCACAACTAAATCATTGTCATGAGTACATCTAGTTCTAAATGCACGATGACCCACATGTCTTCTTCCATTCTTCTTCCAATTTAACAAAGACCCATTGGAAAAAGTTTTCATTTTGACGAAATTGGTTTCACCTCTGAATAACCCATGATTGGCGACAACATAGAAATTAGCATCCGTTAAAGTATAGCAAAGTGACATACTGTTACAACACGTGGTTGTTGAGGAACAGAGAAGTGAGACAGTCATAGAAACGCAGAAGTTGTGTATAATAATAAAGGATTGAAATTCAGAATAACGACATTGAAGGAGAAATTGGAAGTGATTAACCTGTGTTACTGTAATTGAGGTATGCAAGAGAGAGTGGAAGTGGGAAAATCTGGGGGTGCTAATAGTTTTGAAAGACGCGGTCACAAAGAGGAGAGAGATTTTGAAGTTTCGGGTTTGGATATTTTTGACAGAGCTTTGAACGACGGAAGTGGCACTATCACGTTATCACTAACTTCTTCGTACGTGATGTGAGAACATATATATTAATTAGATATAGTTATTTTAGACTAAACACTCATAGTTTAATTAATATCAATATTTTATTAATTTATTTAATTTTTATCATTGTTATTTACAATAATTCATTATTATATTACACGTTATTTATGTAGATTTTGAAAATTACTTTTTTTTTTCAAAGAAAAATCAAAATACATTCTGCTCAATGCATATATAAACAACTACATTGAAAGTTATAAAGTCTTTCGCTCTATTTTGAAAAAGAAAACGCAAATTTTATACTAAATTATTTGTCTATTGTAACACCTCAAATTTTTAAAATATTTATTTAATTTATTTAAATATGAATATTCGTATTTTTGGTGATTTTTGATGGTTGGTGTGAAATATTGAGGATTATGGATTTTAAATTATGTATTTAAATAATAGTATATAATATGAATATATTAGTATTATTATTAATTTAAATAAATATAGGTTAACTAAGGGCAAATTGGACAATTAAGGAGAAGTTAGTGAGGGTAATATTGGAAAAACCCAAATTATATGCCCAAAGTTAGATTTAACAAAAAAGATTTTCTGAGGGAATTATGATTCATTCTTGTTAGACCGTAAAAAGAGAAGAAATAAAGGTCAGAGCTCTGAGGAAAAGGTTTGAGGCAAAAGCTTCGAAAGGTTTTTGAGAATCAAGGAGAAGATTTGGATTCGGCAATTAAGGTATGGGGAGTATTGAAGGTGAGATAATACTTAGAAGGGGTGTTGAATAAGTATGAAAGATTAAAACTTAGAATTAAAACACAATTATTTTTATCCTGGTTCGTTGAACTTAACTACTCCAGTCCACCCTTCCTAGAGTGATTTACCTTTCTCAACAAGGACTTAATCCACTATTTAATCAAACAGAATACAATAGTAACACCTAAGAACAACTGTTCTTAGTCTTCTCAAGAGCTACTGATTCCAACTGAATCCTCTTAAGGAAATCCTTTACAATCAATGTAAATCTAATACAAGAGTATGAATGCTTCTAAAAAGCTTTTATCACAAACAGTGATATTTCTCTTAAGATTAAGTACAAATAATTCTAAGAATGAATATGAAAGTATGAGAGCTTGAATGTTATAATTTCTTTTCAGCAAAATGTCTAACTGAAGAATTTGGTGGAGTCTTCCTTTTATAGGCAGCTGATCCAAGGAGAGCTGAGCGTTGAGAAGAGTGTCCCAAAAAGGTCTGAGCCTTTTTGTCATCACATCAAGTGACCTTTCCTAGAAGAAGAAAGCACAGAAAAATCCTTTTTGTTTGTGTTCTTGTGTCTAGCACAAATAAGGAAAGAGACGTTTGATTTACTCCAACGGATATAATCTTTGAATATTTCTTCTTCAGTTTTCAGCAAGTTCATCAGAATCTGATTGGGTCAGAGTCTTCTAATGATGTTCAGAACTTTGTTGAATCAGAGTCTTCTGCAGCATGTGTGCTTTCAGCGTGTTAATCATCAGAGCATATTTGACACAGAACTTCAGTACTGACAGCTTTAGTACTTTCAGAAACTTCTGTAGAAATTATGCTTTGAGAAACTCTTCATACAATATTCTTCTTTGCTTCAGATGCTTCTGCTTTCTTCAGATTCTTCTGGAGCTTCTGCTTCAGAATCTTTTGGAGCTTCTTGCTTCAGATCCTTCTGGAGGCTACGCTCAGGATCTTCTGTTAGCAGCAATCAGAATCTTCTAATGAGTGCATCTGGCGCTTCAGAGTCTAGTTAATTTCTTGTATATAATTCTGATTTGCTTCTAGAGTGTTAATTTCTTTACTATCTGCAGTAAAAACTCTCAAGCAAATTTTAGAGTATATAATTCTTAAATACAAAATTTCCTAATAGTTATCATCAAAACAAAGAGATATTATTAAGAACCAATCTGTGTTCTAACAATCTCCCTCTTTTTGATGATGACAAAAAGCATCAGAAATTTTGTTTAATTAAAAATATTAGAATTATAACTCCCCCTGAGATGATGAATCTCCCCCTAAGTTAAATACAAATAAGGAATAGAAACTTCCCTTTTGTCTTTGAGTAATCTTCAGAGTTATATCTTGTTTGTTCTTTTAACATTTGAAGGTCAGAATGTCTTGCAGATTTAAGATTCAGAGTTTGACAATAGTCAAATGATCTGAGAGACTCAGAGTTTCTTTTATAGAGTGTACTTATCAAATGTTCTGAAATAGTCAGATTAAATGTTAGATAGAATAGATATGTCTGAAGTTTCATTCTGGTGAAGTTATATTAAACAGTTCAGATCTATATTTTCTCCTCCTTTTTTGTCATAAGCAAAAAGTAAAAACTTTAAAAGGACAAATAAAAGGAAACAGTAAATAGATAATTCATTGGAGAAAACTTTGATTCATTCATAAGATCAGATCAAGAGTACATAGGCAAACATCAGAATATGTAGCAATAAAGTACATATGCAAACAACAGATGCAAAAACATTAGAATGAAAAAAATCTAAGAGTGTTTGGACAAAAGCATCTTCAATAGATCTGTAATCTCTGAGGAAGATTGCTCTTGCTTGGACATCCACTTAGCCATAGTTTCATTCTTTTCATCTTGCTTTGACATCCATTCTGTCATATCCTCAGACTTCTTATCCTGCTTTGCCATCCAGAACTTGATCTCTGACTGGCCAGCTTCTAGAGCAACAATCTTATCTTCAAAATTTGGATGTTCTTTCTTTATCTCAGATGAAGAAGTATGATTAGGTTCTGGAGCTTGAACAGAGTCAATTTCCACTGGTTCTGTAGAGTATGGAGCATTGGAATTAGAAGGAGGGTCTACCAGAGTCATAGCCAACGGATTTTCCTCAGATGCAATGTCAGTAGATTCTGCTGAAGGTGGAGGAGCATCTGTAAGGAGCAGAGGTTTAGATTTCTTGACAGTCCAGAATAGAGTCCTTGCAGCCTCAGCAAATCTGAGCTTCACATCATCAGAACAGATGTTCTTCAGATTTGAGGCCACAGAGTTGAATCTGTTGATGAATCCATTCCAGATGATGTCAGATTCTTTGGCATCCATTGTTGCTGAGCATTTCTTCTGAACAGTACCTAAATACATCTGTATTTCTTGCAAAAAAGTTTGAAATAAATGATCAACATTAAGTCTGGGCTTTGGTCGTAATAAAGTTTCCAGAGTTATAGGTTTAGGTTGGGGAGTTGGTGGAAAATTTGATTTTTGGATGGAGATCAGAGGAGGAGGATAGTATGGAATGAAGGGTATCTCAGGAGCTTTTTCTTTTGATCTGAACAAGGCATTTAGAAAATGAGGTTTTGCTCTGGTGTGAGGGGTAACTACATCAAAAGGTTTATTTGAGTAGGTTTGGAAGGCAGATTTGAGTGGTTCATCAGATGCAACAGTGTTATCAGATGCAATTGGCAGAGCTGAAGCAACAACTTTATCAGATTTTGCAGAACAGGATATGGTTGCTAAAGATCCCACATCTGACATGGATTTCATGTAATCAAGAATCACAGATGGAAGGGTCATGGTGAGTTTTGGTTTCAGAGGGTTGATGGGGTCAGATGGTTCAACTCTATCATAAAAGTCTTTTAGTTTGAAACCATATGCCAAATTATGAAACAGAGAAGATACTTGGGCACAAGATATAGAAGATCTTGGGTTTGAATTGGGGATCAATATCTCAGATGATGGTGCAGGTGTGGGAAGGATCTGGAATGGGAGCTTTTGAAGGTATAGTAGGTTCAGGTTGGTTTACCTCAGAGTATTTTTGAGATGGAGAGATTAGAAAATCTGGGTGGAGGTCTGATTCTGAGGAGTTAGAAGATGTGGTTGGTGTGCAGGAAGTAGAAGATACTTGAAACACCGTTTTTAAGGGTGTAACATCAAGAACTTCTGTCTCAGGAATGTGAGGTTCAGAAGTGTTGGTTTGTTCTGAAGGAATTTCAGATGGTTTTGATGGTTGTTCTGAGATGGGTGAATCAGATGGAATTGAGATTGGTTCTGATGAAATTGGAGCAGAAGTTACTTTTGTAGGTTCAGAAGTAACAGGTGCAATGGGTTCAGATGATTTTGATGGTGGATTTTCAGAGGCCTTTTTTGGTTGAGATTCTTGTTGTTTTTCTGGTTGTTCAGATGATTTTTGTTGTACAGATTATTGTGGTTGTTGTTCTGTAGGTTGTTTCTGTGAGGATTGTGTTTGTGGAACAAACTGTTTGATATGGATTTTTGGTTGAGATGATTTAGGTATAGAGACTGGTGGTGTTTGAGTGATTTTTGTTGTTGTTGTTGTTGTTGTTGGAATAGAAGTTTGTTTTTGTGGTGATTTTGAACTGGGAGCAGTAACAGAAGTAGTTTGTGTTGAGGGTGGTTTTGGAACAGACTTAATATTAGAGTCATTTATAAAAATATTTGCAGAAGATACAGAAGATTTAGTACCTTTTATTTTGATCCTCTTGGCTGGTACAGAAGTAGCGTCTTCAGATTCTTTTCTCTTCAAGAGCTTCTTTGGCTTCTCAGCAATCTTGACCTTCTTCTGAGCAGGTGCAGATTCTGCTACTGGCTGAGTCCTTTTCCTCTGAAGTTGTGCTTCTTCTTCTTCTTCTTCTACATCTGGTAGGGGTTGTCTTGCTAGCTGAATCACATTTGCAGGAACAGGCTTGCCTTCCTTATTACATTCATCAATGTACATAACTACAATGTGTCTGGGCTCTTCAGCAAAGAACAATGGAAA